AGGAGGTTTCCACGACCATGTCCCACCCCCGCTGGCTACCCGCCCGGATGACCTGACGTACACCGAGATAGCGCCCTCCGGCGAGAAGTATACGTTCTCCTTTGACCGTCTCGGTGGTCGCGTCCCGACTCTCTTGATCTCGCCGTGGGTTGCTAAGGGTCAGGTCGAACAGAAGGGCACTAACTCAGATGGCAAGGTCGTGTCTTACTCTGCTTCTTCAATCCTGCGCACTCTCGGATATCTCTGGGACTTTGAGCCTTTCACGCCTCGTGTTAAATCTTCGCCTTCGTTTGAGCATCTTATTCAGAACACGGCGCGCACTGATACTCCTGTCAAGTTGCCTGTGCCTAAGGCCTTTAGAAAGACGGAGATTTAGGATAGTACTGCGGTGTTGCTTCCTACGTTGATTGTGTATAAAGGGGTTTCAATAGCCTAACAAGGATAGTTGCAATAGCACTCCATGTCAATGTGATAGTGCCAATTCTGTTCGATACGACCCTTACCAAATATTTGCTTTCTATATTTGGTCTTGCTATACAGTCGGTTTCTCTGGTTATCGAAAAAAGCGTCGCTTAGGGCTGTTACTATTTTATCAATGTTTGTGGCAACTAAAAATACAATAATAGGGCTCCAGCGAGCAAGACTGTACCCTATACTATTTGCGTATCGTATGTATTAGAGTCTACTCCGTGCGATTATTCATTCTCCTTTCAGAAAGTTACAAGGTCGACAGAAAGTATCTAAGGAAACATCTCAAAGGATATCCGAGTGTTACCTTACATACAATGTCCCTTTTACCATCTTGGGCCAGATAAATCAGATTATCAAAGTCCTACATCATTAAAGACATGCATACACGGCCGACGGCTCTTGTAGAAATTGAAAGGAAATGTCGTCGTGACGACGAACCCTGACTTTAGCGCTGGCCACCGACACAACATATGCGATACGAGTCCAGGGTCTGACCAAACTTATATTAAATACCAGACGTCACCTTGGAATTGCCTTGTGCATGCATTGAGCGACCTTGTCGTCATCTGTGCCTCCTTGTTCTGAAACATAGATCCGACAAGCGTTGTCTCGGGTTTAAATAGCCTGGGGCGAACCTCCGCAGTATTGGTACATGCTCTTCGAGACAACATTTGCCGGACGGTTTTCTATCTGATTTGGCTCAATATTAGGGAACAAAATGCAACTTAGCGCTTGGGGATCGCGGAGTTCGTATTACTCATTCTCCGTTTCTTTTTGGCCTCTCTGCATACGACGTAAAGGGCCTTGAATTTTTTTTTATGTTTATACTATGATATCTACTTCACCGTGTTTTCCCACCTGGGCAACTTTTTTGTTCAAGGCCTGGGGCGAAGTAGACTCAGCCTTCACTAAGTGTTGCATAAATAATGAATAAGTTGCCGAAAACGCCCCGCATGATATTGACGTCATCCGCGGGGCTCCCACAAAGAAAAAAAGAACAGGGCGTTTTGAATTTTACTCGGATTGCCCCGATGCGGTACAGTATTGCAGGGGTTATAGTCTTTGTACTCCGTATGATGTCGATGCATAGTGAAACGAATATTCTTCACTAAGAGACCGATATTAATTTTGAAACGGTAACCTAAAATATCAACCCGAGATCAAGATTAATCTAGAATAGAATGTGTGGATTGTAGCTAATCTATTCGTGCCCTATCGGCTGAAACTGCAGAAAACTGTTCTCATGACAGTGCATATAGCGCTGATCCATTCTTCTAGACTTAACATGTCAATGCAGCAGATGACATTTGGAATGCAGGTGAGGCTGCATCTCCCGAGTAGTATGCTGTACAGTATACAGTCGGCGTACTGTATCAATATAAAAGCTAGGAACCATGGAATCCACCCGAGCCAGTCGATAGAACCCATGGATGGAGAACGGGAAGAACCAAACAATAGAAGAGACGTCAGGAGTAAACAAAATAGTAAACAAAATACCGACTAGCACATACAACCGTACAGACAAATCTAAGCCACGGCCGTATTTCAAACGTTTCGCCACAGCCCCCGGGCAAAGAGTGCCAAACCCGAGTGTGAGAGAGAGAGCCTCACGTGGATGTCTTTATCTGCTTCGCTCTGCCTCTATTTTCCCTTTTCCATCCTCTCTTTCACATTTTCATCTCTCATCCTCACTTCCTCATTGTTCCCTGAGTTTACCATCTGCTTTTTTCAACTCTTCATCTCTCCACCCGAGTCTTTTGGGTTCGATAACAGTGCTGCCTGCCGATCATCTAGTCTGAGGCTGAGCCGGTTAAGTGCGTGCCGATACTCCGCTCTCTGCCCTACAGAATACCCCGTGGACGGTTTTCATCATCCTGAATCATCATTCAAAAACCCACTGGGCTTTCGCCCGCTTTCCTTGGCTTTGATCTGTTTGGCTGAGACAATCGTTACCAATCAGAATCAGCCCGAGAGACTTCGACTGGAATCATCTTCGACCATTAGTCGATCGCATCTTCTCTGCAACACCCCCACTTCCCTGCCGCCCCCCTCAATTCCCTGCAGTGTGCATCTTACTTTTTCTTTGCCCTTCCACTTCTTATTCTCGACTTATTCCTCAGTCACATCTCATTTCTCACTGCCCTTACTACGTCCCATGTCGTACACTTATAGAGATCGCGATCGAGACTGGGACGAGACCCGTCCCGTGTCAATCAAGCGCTACGTCATTTCTCCTGAAGACGACCGTCGAGACTTTATGTCGAGACACGATGACTCTTTCGGCGGCGAGCGTGAGCTGGTGATCCGGCGCAAAACGGATCGCGAAGAGCCTGTGACTGTCTCGCGCTACGAGCGAGAGGTGGAGTATGAGCCACCCACACGCTACGAGAGAGACTACTATGATCGTGAGTACCTACATCCTTACACCAATCGTCCGCACTCCCGGTCCATGGATTCCCTGGAACGAATGGAGCAGTCCCCTACTGCTAGTACCACTGCCACCCGAAAACAATCCGTACTTATTCGTGAAGCCCGCAATTCCTATATCAGCCCCCGCGAATCCGAGTATGATGTCGTGCGCCGCTCCGAGGCCGACGAGGACCCATATTACTACCACCGTCACCGTCGAGTACGCGAGTACGACGAACATCGCTCCCGACGTGAGCTGAGCCCTGATGATTCCGTTTCCCAAACTAGTCGCCGCCGCCGCGGTGATCGCGACCAGGACTACAGCAGCGATGATAGCATGGTCTACATCCGAAAGGAAACCCGCGACTATGACGACCACCCTCACCACCGTCGTCATATGGCAGAGGGTGCATTGGTAGGTGCCGGCGTGGCTGAATTAGTACGCAGCCGCAGCAAAAAAGATGGCGAAGTCAGCCATGGCGCCAGCCGTATTGGTAAGACTCTTGGTGCCGGTGCTCTTGGTGCAGTCGCTGTGAATGCAGCATCGCATGCTCGAGACTACTACCACCGTAGTAAGAGCCGCCACCGTTCTCATTCTTTTGAAGATGACCGTTCTTCCCATCGCCACAGCAGACATGGCCGGAGTCGTCACAGCCGCAGCCGCAGCCGCTCCCACTCGCACTCTCGTGCGAAGACATTGCTCGAGCTGGGAGTTGGTGCCGCGGCCGTGGCTGCTGGTGTGGCTGCATTGCGTAGCAAGTCAAAAGGTGGAGACCGCAAAAGCCGGTCTCGCACTCGCTCCCGCTCTCGGGCTTTTAGCCGGGGTCGTTCGGAGAAGGATGAAGAACATGGTGAACGAAGCATGTCTGAACGCCGCAAGCACATGGCTGGCGCGGGTCTGGCCGGTGCGGCCGTGGCTGGCCTGGTTGAAAAGGTCCGCAGCCACTCGCGCTCTCGAAAGGGTGAGCGCTCCCGTTCCCGCAGTCGTATGAGACAAGCTCTTCCTATTGTGGGTGCCGGTCTTGCTACTGCTGCTGCTACCGGCCTCTACGAGAAGCAGAAGAGTGACAAAGATGAAAAGGACGGTTCGAGCCGGGGCCGCCATCGCTCAAGGTCTCGCAGCCGCGGCCCGTCACAGTCTTATCCCGACCCAGCTCGCGACTCGGCCGGTCTGATCGAATACGGCAACGACCCAGTCACAGGTAGCATCCCATCTGAGCACTACTACGGTCAGCCTGGTGCACCCTACTACGACACACAGGAAGCCTACGGTCCCAGACGTCATAGCCGCAGTCGCAGTCGCAGCCGAGCCCGCTACAGCAGTTCATCCGGTTCCGACCGCGAAGGTCACCGCCGACGAAGCAAGAAGCATCGCAGCCGCTCACGAGAGCTCGCGGGTGCCGCCCTGGGCGCAACAGGGCTTGGCTATGCCGCACACAAGTACAACGAGCGTCGCAAGTCCAAAGAGCGCGAACGCGAACACTCTAGTAAGTCTGCACTTCCCCTAATTTTATTCGAGAAATATTCACCCTGACTAGTGGTATAACTAGAGCATGATGACAACGCCCACCGTGATCCTTATGAAGAATCCTACGACCCAGAACCATACCCGCCTTCCCCGCAAAGGGCCCCAGGCGCCCCACCCATGGCTGACCCCCACTACTACCCTAACAGTAACTATTTCCCCCCGCCCCCGGGCGACTTGACCTATAATTTGAGCGGTACCCCTGTTTCCTACAACCCGGCAGACTATCCGCCACCACCGGGCGCTGCCCCGCCCCAGCCTTACGCCTACGGCGCTGTGCCACCAGGACCGGGATCGGGGCCCGGACCCGATCAATTTGCACCTCGGCCACGTAGGGCTGAAGACAATGTGAGCAGCTCCACCCTACCTACTGATGCAAACCATGTGCACAAGGGTGGGTTCATTGAACCACAACTGTGACCGTATATAATGCGACAAAAGCTAATCTTCAATTAACAGGTCTAAACATCCACCCCTTTCCAAAGTCTCCACCCCGGTCAAGTAGCCAACCGCCACAAGTCTCGAAATCCGTCGCTTTCGACCTGACGGATCCCCCGCGGGATCCCGGCTACGAGACCGATGATAGTGACTCTACCGTTGAACCGCATTCATCTTTGCATCGCGAAGGTAAAAACCACCGTCGCGATCGAGATCGTGATAGCCATCATCATCATCGCCGCCGCTCCTCATCCGTCCCCTATCCCCTTATGCCCCATCCTAGCCCTGCTTGCAGTCATCATCGACATCACCCATCAGCCCGGAAGCCCCGGGAGGGAAGAGACCAGAACAAAGTCTCTGAAACAGACTCCGACTCAACCATCGACCTACCTAACAGGTTTGACGGGCAAGGCCGTCTTCTTCCTGAGCGGGATCCTGCCATGGATAAATTCGAGGACCTGGTGAATAGGTTTACGAAAGTTCTGTTCTAGTGGGTTGCTGTGTGATGTTTCTTCCCTCTTATTCCTGCCCATCCCCTTGACCGTACGTCTATTTCTTCTGCTTTGATTAAGTTTATCTTTTACATCTACCACATCTCTTTGGCTTTGTACCTTTTCCTTGGTATCTTATCCTGTTTTATGCTCGTCAATCTTGGTCACAAGGTTATGAATGATGCCTACTGCCGATGATAACGATTTTATGATGTGTATGTGTGTTCAGGTAGTGCAATACTCGTTGCTTTCTTTTTACGATGGCATAGTCATTTTCAATATCATTTTTGGCAACTATTGTTATGGCTGCTTTAGTGAAAATAGGGAAGTTCGTAGGATGGGAGCTCCCGGACTAGAGCCAGATGTTAAACGGGTTCATGCGTGTGGATGTCATGTGCCAAGTCAAAGACGAGCCAAATTGTATAAAAAGAACATATGTGTTCTCATAACTAATACTAGTATTTTCAAAGCCGGAAAGAACATTCACATCCATGTACAAGCCCAGACGAGAAGAAATATAAGCACAGAAGCCCTCTAATAGTATGAAAGAAACATTTTGCAAAGCTGAACCCGTCTCGTATTCGAAGACTGAGCTAATAATGGAAAGTTTCTTTCCCCGAAGTCCTGCCGTACAAAAGAGATACACAAGGCTGATTTCAGGATCAGCCAGAAGCAACACAGATAGTACAGATACAGCGTGCTTTGCACCAGAAGAACATTTGAATGGACATGGAAAAGAACCTCGAATAAACCCTGGTAAGGAAATACGGGCTGACTGCCGTGTAAGGAATGGACGGACGGAGAGTATGTAGCAGATATCGCATCCATTCCAAGGAAGTGGCTAACGAAGAAAAAGCCATATCCGAGATAGTTTTTTCAAAGGACAAGAGAGAAGACGGAAAGGGATGACAAGAACTAGACGGAGTTGATCCATGATAGAACTTGTCCAAGGCTTGCGAGCACAAAAGGACGAAAATTGCAAATGGGGTATACTGCGGAATGAAGTCTCAAGGGAAGATAGGGGCAATACTGCGTATCTGTATGATGTATACAGAGTGGGCCACCAAACACAATAGGCTCTTTGCTTTTCGTCGCGTTACATGAAGATAAAAAAAAAGTAAAACATAATTAAGAAAGAGTAGGGCTGTCGTAAGTCAATGATATCGATCTATCGCTAAATGTGTTATGCCGTAAAAGGTCGTCTCGAATCCCCCGATCCGGTGGAACGAGTATCGAGCGGAAGGCGAATGGATGGTGCGCTTCTTTGTGGTACAGAAATCCGCACTGTATCGTTGCTCGGAGGTGTTTGCTCTGGATCGTTATCATCGGTACCAGGGTCCACCTTGACGCTGGAGCTAACAGATGCCGAGAGATAGCGGGAACTGAGTGGGAGCTGGTATTTGATGATACCGCGGACAGTCAACTCAAAGGGGTGTTGGAGGACTCGCTCCCAGCGCTCTGTGCCTCCTGCCTCGGTTTTGTTTCCTGGCCGAGCTAGACGGATCTGTCCTTTGGAGCTGGAAGTCAAATGATTCCAAGGAGATGATTCAAAAGATAGTGGGGAATCGAAGTGGAAGACGCGACCAAGCAACATCGATCGGGGGTCGCCTTCTGGATCGGTTGGGGGATCAGTTCCCTTATCAACTCCATCGGTGGCGTGTGGGTCAGAGTGACTAGGCATGGCTTCCTTAACACAGTCCACATTGCCCAGACACCTCACGGCTTGCGACAACTGCCAGCGACGTCGGCTTTGCTCCACGCGTGGGAAATTATCCAGATCACCGTGCTCCCGCCAAAACTTGTCGGTTACAACATATCGACTCTTTGCGAATATGTTGACATCGGTGTCATCAATGGTCACAGGGAACAAGTTCGGATTGATGGCTTGCACGTTCAAATCCAACATTATTTCCTGTTCGGAAGCCAGCACGTTTTGGATCGCAATAACTTGGACATCTAGAAGGGGTTGGGTTGCCGCAACGATGAACGAGGTGGCACCGCCAGCGACAATCAGCAACAGAAGGAAGATAATAGCGCACGAGCCAAATCGAGCGAAAAACCCGCGTTCCCGCTGCGCCATGTACTGCATCTGCCGCAAGCTTGCACTGTTGGGCCGTCGACCACCGCGACTGTGGATTGTACGTGGCGTGCCTACCAACGGTGTACGTTCATCGTCTGCACCCTCGGCTTCATAGTCGTAGGCATGAGACTCGCCGCCCTTCTTGGAACCGCTAATAGTTCTGTAGTTGGGAGACAGCCGGGTATTGCTGTGGCGAGAATGCCTATAGCTATTCCCGATGAAATGGCGCGGAGACTTTTGAGATTGGCTCTGTGAGTGTGCACTGTCGTTATCAAAAAGATTTGGGTGGACGCCGTTGCGTCCATGAAGGCGGCCCAAATTGTGATGCCGGGGAGTGATGGTTCCACTTCCATCCGTTCTAGAAGAACGCGAAGCCATATCAATCTCGACACCATCACCATCTATGCTGCCGTTGTTGTATGGGTTGGCGTTGGTAAACTTCATGCTGCGTTTGCCAGTCACGCCATGAGAAGCATCCCGCAACCCTCGGGTACGACTCGCCAACTGCTCCGCTTGACTTGCCATAGAGGTCGCACTAGGAGTTCGAGAATGATACCTGGGTGGCCGAGAAGGATATGGATCAGGCGGGTTCGAGTCGTAAACGAAAGTCTCGTCAGAGTCCGAAACATCAGCCTCATCCACTGCACTAGCCACTCTAGCCTCGAAGATGTCGGCTTTGCTTGTTACGGGGCCGGTTGTAAGAAGGGTGTTGGGTCGACGAGTCTTTTTCTTTTCTTTGCGCGGACGAATCGTTTCATTTGACGGCTTCATGCGAAGTGTACCCTGGTCTGCACGGGAAGGGTTGCCTCGCTCACCATTTCCCACTCCCATGGAAACTTGCGGTATTGAACTGACGGTCTCTGTTTCTACAATCATGTTGCGAACTGAGCCGTCGGCAGGCTTTCCACGAGCACCGGCACTGAGCGATGTTGTCGATCGCTGGGACATCAGAGTTTTGGGTGCTTTGGCCGCACCAGATGCCTGTGCACGAGTCTCTTCCTTTGGTTCCGAACTTCGATTTTCACCACTGTCACTGCCACTCCCTAAAGATTGATGCGGAGCACGTGGAGTAGGGTCTTCATCGATCCGGTGCAATCGTGATTCCTCCGGGATCACCGGCTTGGTAGGAGTGTCGCTGGACGGAGTAGAGGGATTGCTTGTCATCTCCTCGACGGTTTCCAAGGAGGACCCTTGCCCACTGACGCCTCTAGCGACAGTCCGAGTTGCGTTTCGGTCCGGTTTAGGTGTGAAATCCTCCAACGGCAATGAAGATCTTTTCTGCGAAGTATTCGGAAGCGTCGAATCCAGATCCGTGCGACGGTTCGCGGCCCATGATGGCATATTGGACTTTTCCAGACAGGGAACATTGGCCGGCGAGTCGACAGGAGCGGAAAGACCTAGGGATCTGACTGGAGAAGAGGAGGAACGCTGAAGATTCGGTGTTGGCGAGTTGGTAGGTGGGCCGGATGTCAGACCGTTAGAGTGTCGGGTCGGACTGGATTGGTCTTGACTGGTCTTTCGCGAGTGTGGAGATACCCGGCCGGGCGAAGAGGGATTGTAAGTAGGATTGTAGGTACGTGAGGAAGGTCGGACCGGGGAGGGTTCGCGGGAGGAAACAGTGGAGTTCGTAGCAGACGCGGAAGCGGTAGGAGGATTGGGAAAAAGTTTAGGGACCTGAGACATGGGATGAGTCTGGGGTGTAATGATGGACCGTTCCATCATGCCATTTTCGCTGGCCGATCGATGCATAGGGTCTGACGCCGCCTCTGCATCCTTCGGCCCTCTGGATCGACCAGAGGTGCCATTAAGGTGAGGCGGCCTCTCGGACTCCGCAGCCATGGTCCCTGTCGACTCAGAATGGGCTGACACGACGTGGACAAGTCAGGAGACCCGAGAGGTAGCCAGGCAGTTGGGCAGACACTGGGCCCAAAAGGGTAATCAGAAAAAGCAAGGCACGGCGCCTAGGCAGGGAAAGCTTGACGGTGAAGAAGTGAGTTGTTGTTGACAAGAGCGAATGAGATATCACGAGGATTGAATGTGATGTTGCGTAGAATACGGGTCGTTACACATGCGAGGGTACAGCAGAACAAATAGCCGATGACCACATGCTGTTGCCGGAAATTGGGTTCTGTACAAACGCACAAGCGAAAAATGGTTGCAGCAGGTGCAAGGGTTGGGGAAACTGGAGAGAGATGGAGATTGTTTAGAACACCAAGTGGGCCGGGGTCAGTGTCGCGCAAAGAGCCGGCACATCACTTGTGCCGTTTTGCTTTGTTGCCGAGAAGGACAAAAAACAAGGCCTAGAACGAAGGAATCGGGGATGACAAGATTTGGTTGGCGGATTTAGGGCAAATGGAGACCCGCCGATCCGGCTCAACGTTTTGGCTTGACTGGTTTGACGTGGTTTTGGAGTGGCGTCTGGGCTGCCAAATGTGCAGGAGAAGTCGGTGACCAAAACCTCGGTGAAAAGTGGCTGACCGAGAGGGTCAGATTCGTGGCAAAGGCCAATGACCGTGGTCCACGTCAAGAAGGGAGGGGGTCACTGCATGGAAGGAAGCACACGGATGGTCTAGAATCCAGTAGAAAATCTCGGGGAAAGAATGTGAATGTAACAAAAAGTAGAGAGAAAGTTGACAGAAAGTTGAGAGAAAGTTCAAAGGTGAAATAGAAAGAGCAACCGAAAACAAAAAGATGAAGTCACTGGGATTTTGTATTTTTTGTATTCTGCGGGTTGATGACCGGTGCCGAGAACGGTAATAAACGGTAATAAACGACCAATGGTAATACAACGTGCGAACGCTATCGTCTCAGGTGGCCCTAGGGCAAGCTAGATGCCCTGGTCCTCCCAAATGTCCTCTGCGATAGACTGAAGGTGTGCCCTAGAAAGGAACACGTCCCTTTCCGCAGGAACTGAAGACGCTCTGTCAAATAGCGCATCAAATAGAATGCGCAGGGGGCCGGTCACGTTGACACTGCCACCCATGGTCTTCGTTACCGACACAGTTTGAGTGCAGTGCGCTCGTTCATTCACCCGTTGCCAGGTGTTGATCTTGATATTGGGAATTTGTCTGTTTGCCTTTATCGTTATGACCAGGTTTGCGTTCCCAGAAAGGGGGTTCAACCAGAAATCAACGTCTCGCTTCAGCTTTGTTTCCGTCTCGGAGATGGCGATCTCGGCGACAACGGTGTACCTTGTTTCATTTCCGCTCCCTCGCTCTCCTACTGCTCGCCTCTTTGGGCCAAATGCTATATCAGCGTCTTTTCCTTTGCCGTTTTGGAGACGGACGCCACCCCCTGGGTAGTCTTTGATCGCGTTAGCCAAACCGTGGCCCATCGAGTCGAGATATTGCCGATTTATTAAGGGAACCGATTGCGTGCGCATGCTCGGGGGTCGACATGGTTATCAGCAGTAGTTCGTGTGGTGTATCAAAAGAAATACGCATTCGTGGAAAAGAAGCCGTTTCTTCGTCAAGGAAGTCGTGAGCCAAGTCTACCGGGTCAATATGAAAAAGCATATATTCAGTTTTACGTTCGCGCCTACCTAATTCAAGACCTAGCATACGACTGAAATGGTGCCTTCCTTGATATTCGTACCTCCTGATTGAAAGAGGTAGACCCGCCAGGCAACCATCGTCATGCTGGGGAGAGCAAATATTGGGCTCGGTCATTTTATAAGAGTCAGACACCAAGTATCGAGGAATGAGATGGGGATATCAAACACGAAGGGGAAAGTATCAAGTGAAAGATTATAAAAGAGCCAGGGAAAGAAAATCCGAGCCCGAACGAAGGCCGTCCTCCGTTTGGTTGGCAGCTGCTAAATGTTAGGCAAATATCAAGCAATTGAAGATCAATTCTACAGTAGATACAGATTACTAGAGTGCTAGAATTGTAAAGAAATACTACTTGTCAGGCTAGTCCTGTTGGTTAGGCGGGTTGAACAGTGGGGGGAGAAACGTATTCCTTTCGTAGAGACTAATTCTTGCTCAGTCCAACTTCCAGGGGGAGGAGGCACTATTGTACCTCTTCGTCCCTGAATCATGATCGTCACGATGATCAGTACATCCAGTCTCCGAGTCCTTTTCTTTGGCATACACTGTGCTCAGGATAATGCATGATAGTTATGTAGTTTGGGGAAACTGGTTTAAGCTAACACTTCTATTCGACCTGTAATAAACAGCGTGCAGGAAATAATTAATTACTCATGTATGGGAAATACAATGACTTATCTTGCCACGGCGCCCTTTTATATACAATTCACTACACAAGGTACAACTATAATAAAGATAAATAGGTTTTGTTTCTTTGGCTTCGATTGTCATTCAGATTGTCTATAGTTAGAGCCACTTTTCCGTTTCAACATCATTGTTGTTTTTGTTCCTATCAAAAAGATAATCAAAAGAGACAATCTGGATAATGAATCCTAAAACGCCAAACAGTACCCAAGTCAAGGATTACCTATAGTGGTTACAGATTACTAGAGTGTAACAGATACATATATGCATGTAGCCTGGTGAAACAGGTTTTTCACTAATATACACTTGTATTCAACCTGTAGCCAATATGTATACCTAGACAACCTCCCATATACAGAGCAAAACATGCATCGTATATCGTCAAATCCAAGGACCGACACGCCGAGTATTCAGAGCCAGAGTCAGTGACCGAAAAGAAGAAAAAAACACAGGGTCCTAAAATAAACGAGCACACAGCCAAACCAAACCCAGGGTATCGATCCAATCGACTAAAACCAAGTAGAAACCAACATGGGGACACATCGTACGTCTATACAATTTTGTAGACTCTTTTAGCAGTCCAAACAGATACAAATGCAAATACGCATAGTCCGGCGGTAACTATGAAGTATTAGTAGATAATCTGGGAAGGAAAAAGAAGAGGGAAGGCATACTGCACCAGAACCATGTCAGACTATCAATGTCCTGACCCGGTACCTTGACGTTCATCCCCCACATGCCGCAGATGATGTTCATCGGTAGGACAATCGTACCAAGAACAGTCAGCTTACCAAGGACATCGGCAGTATGTTCCTGACGCTCGTTCATGAGGATGTTGATCTGCGCAAGATAATTGGAGTGTGCGCGGGAAAGAATTCTGGTAGACACAGTTAGCGATTTATGCGACGTTTTGCAAAACCAGTCTTGAACATAGGCTAAACAACTTACGTTTCGTAATGCGTTAGGTTACCCGTCATCGTCATAATGTGATCCTGAATGTCACCGAGGTACAGACCAATCTCTGACTTGGGTGCGACCTCCCACTGCTCGTTGCAACGCTTGGCAAAGCCCTTGACTACATCGGCCTTGTTACTCAGAAGTCGATACAGCCCCATGACCTTCTTGCGGCATTCTCCCACTCGCCGGAGCATCTCTCCCGGCGCGAATGAAGGAAGCACACTATCATTGGACGACACCTCCTTGCTGGAAGAGTGCATCTGCATGATCATCTCGTCGATCTCATCGACCTCATCTTCAATCGCTTGGATCAGCGGACCGAAGACGTCGGTAATGTCATCAATTAGTGCGTATGAAATCCAGTCTGAGCTAAGGATCAGGTAATCCATCAGTTGGCGGATACGCCGCCGCACATTGGCTGGGTGAGGCGTTTGCGAGAAATGGAAGGATATCACACCTTCGCGGAAAACTACCACATACATGTTCACTGGCTCCAGATAGTTCTCGCTGTTGACATCCTGCTCAAAAGTGCGGTAGTTGACAAAATAGTAGCTGCGGAACAGCTCCACTTTCTCTCGAGCTTCTTGCATCATAATGTCCTCTGCCGTCAGCGCGTGAATCCCGAAAGCTTTGGCAATTGTACGCATCTCTGCGTCTGTCGGAGACAGAACATCTAGCCAGAAAGTCGGCCGTGGACCGTACCGTTTAGGCTTCGGGTTGGGTGTGTTGCTAAACGGGGTGTTTGAAGGCGCCGGCGAGAGCTCTCGGTGGGAGTCTGGGCGTCCTTCGCTGATGACAGATAAACGCGGGGGTCCTCTGACAGGAGGAGCGTTGCCGGTGATAAGGTCACTAGTACTCCTTCCATTGGGAACAACGGTCTGAGGTGTCGTATGAAGATTGACGTTCGTTTGATGGCCTTGCCCCTGACTTTGGTTGTCCGTGTGATATGTCGGCTTGCTGGCAGGTTGGGTTGAGTTATTGAAAGCTGGGTTTTCCACGAAAGATTCCTCTTCCTCGTCCTCATCTTCCGAGGAATCCTCTAATTCGGGTGGATCCGGAATAAACAAATCACGGAAGCTACCGCCTGGTTGTACCAGCTCGGAGATGGTTTGGGCATGAACGGTACTCGGGAATTCCTCGTTGAAATATGTGAACCGATAAGGCGCCTCGTCCTCTTCACGTCGCCAACCTGTATACTGAGGGCGCAATCGGCCTTCGACGAGCACAGGCTCACTGATCCTTTTCACTCGAAGGTCCCCATTGCGCTCCTCTTTCTCCTCGCGGCTCCACTCTTCCAGCGCGGAGAGATCGGGCCATCGTCGATGTCTACGCCGTCGACGTTCACCGGCTTCATCTCGCATTTGCCTTGGTCCCTCGTCTCCCAATTCGGATATAGCTTCGGTAGGGAAGCATACGTCTTCCTCTGCTGGTAGTGCCACGGTCCGGCGTCGCCGCATTTCTTGATGCGGAGAGAGCAGCGGCGACCCAGGTGAAGAGGATGGTGCAGAATGTGGATGCAATCCATTTCCATCTATATCGATCAGCGTGTCGTTGAGGGCGTTCAAAGAGTCCTTGCGATTATCCAATGACCGAGCCATTGAGAAGTCCCAATCGGCTCCTGTTACAACAGCATCGTCATAATTCATCTCCGCGCCCGACTTTGGAGACCCCGGAATCGACGGCGGGTTGTTGACATCGTAGTCTCGCTCTACAGTGGGAGAATAGAGTGGGCTGCGATCGTCCTTTGGCGAACATCCCGAGGATATAGTTTGAGCAGAGGGCTGTCGAGCACGCAATGGGAACAAACTCGGGCGGGTGTCTGTTCCGTACCGACTATGCCCAGACATTTGGCCTGAAACTGGCCGCATCAATGGCGTCCGATCGTTAGCATCCTCTTCGTCACTATCACCATGATGTTGTTGGCTCCTTGACCCCCTCGGGGTGCTGCGAGATTGCCCATCGTTTGATCGGAAGGCATTGGATATTAGGGAGCTCGGACGGAATGACGATGCAAGGCGACTGTCACGACGAGGTCGCATCGAGGTTTGGTCCCTAAGGCAAAAAATTAGTATCCATCTGAAGCTCCGAGATCGCTCAATATCACGAGATCTTACCGATGATCTAAGAGCGTATCGCTGTCCAAGCTTGTGTTACTTAAATTGCGGCCCAATTTGAAGAACGACTTGTCCCTCGAGGTTGGCCGATCGGCCTCCATTGAATCTCTGGCACCTCCAGCATCCGAAGTCTCCGCGGGACTATCATGAGATTCCTCCCGACTAGGTGGAATAAAAGATGGGTGTCGATTGCGACGTTTGCGATTGCGGTTCTTTTTGCGTTTGGAGGACTTGGATGGTTTGCCAGCAGCATTATCAGCGGGGGAGTTGAAGCGGGTCTTGTTGGTTGTCGTAGTCTCTGAGACGGGTACCGGACCAGCCCCCGGGGCCCGACCGCCACTCATTAGGCCATAGCTAGCGTTGTTATCAGCAGAGGGTGGGTAATCGCTGTGCCGTGGACGTTTTCTCGGGCTAGACGAATGCGAGGAAAGTGGCGGTGCGGAGGCCGCTATTCCAGATGTTGGGATCATGGCCGGATCCATTATGACAGCCTCAATAATTGGGTCGTGATGAAGGTTGGGTGTCTCCAGTACAGAGCAACTGTACTGAAGTGGAGGACTTTTCAGCCGCGCATCAACCAATGGAGCTAGGCCAAGGCAGACAGCATCGCAGGGTAGAGACTCGCAGGATGCAGGATAACCAGCTTTCCATACGATCTTACTGGCGCTGATGATCACGGGGGAACTGACATCGGCATGGTCGACAGCGCTGAAGGGAGCTGCAGCTTAGGTTGGGGGAATGACGCGGGTGGCAAAACCAGAGTGGAACATCCGGGATAAAACAAGAAACGAGAAATCTTCAATTCAGATATAAAGTAGAAATGGGAAGCAAGTTGTACCTTGTATATTGTACAGGAAAGAAAAGAGAATCCAATACAAAGAGAAACGAGGTCCCTCGAAGGCAGATGAGTTTCTGAAGATTCCATGGGACAGCCCTGGAGGCTTTTCCTAAAACGGGATGGATGAGGTCAGCACAACTATAAAATTCAGGTGTTGGCCAACGACAATGCTATCTGTCAGGGATCTCTTGTGTTCCTGGATCAGAGGCAAAAGACAAACAAACACGTAGCCTTGCAGGTATGAGCCGAAGAACTGGTAATACACAGACTTCGACAGCACTAGCCTTTTAGGCTGGGCAGATTGAGCCGCAACAATGGATCAATCTTCTGAACATGGATTGGGACCAGTCGAATCTGATCATGAATTCAATTGGAACTACATCTTGAGCGCTACCGACTGGTATCCATTGCGCACTGTAGATTGGGAATTGCATAAACTTAATATATGACATGGTATGACGAACCTTTGACTTATTGGACTCTGAGCCTTGTATATTGTAGGGCGGATGTTAGAATGCTTAAGTAGTTCATCCTCAAGTATATAATTGATCTCCTTGGCCCTAATCCGGGGGGGCCTTTGAGAATCTAGGACTATTGGACTTGGCAATTTCTTCCTCGATGATTCCCTGTCAGTGACAGATAGAGTGCTTGTGATCCTCCCATTTATCTCCGCCGTCCGCTTCCGCTCCAAAGTCCGCCCCGCCTTTTGCGAGAAGCACGACGATTCATATAATTCATCAATTCGAGTGTGATGAGAGAAAGATATCTCCCTTTGACCTGCATGAATAATTTATCCAACTACAAATATCCATTTCTTCAACTATGGCTCCACCCACTTGTCGCAGCGAGATTCTCGCCCACCTACGCCGTCAAATTGAAGACGGGAAACCCATCGTTGGCGCCGGAGCCGGTACGCAATTGGTGTCACCTGCCTCTCTGGGCCTTCACCTCTCTATCTATCAGACTTAACTAATAATGCACCATCAGGCATCGGGCTTTCCGCAAAATCGGTCGAGGCCGGCGGCGCAGACCTAGTCATCATATACAACAGCGGTCGCTTCCGCATGGCGGGGTGCGGAAGTCTCGCGGGATTGATGCCCTACAGCAACGCCAATGAGGTGGTGGTCGAAATGGCCGCCGAAGTTATCCCTATCGTTCAGAACATCCCCGTGATCGCAGGTGTCTGCGGTACGGACCCATTCAAACACATCCCGCGATTCCTGAAGCAGCTGCAGGAATTGGGATTTGCCGGGGTGCAGAATTTCCCCACTGTGGGACTGATTGATGGTAACTTCCGTGCCAATTTGGAGGAGACTGGGATGGGGTATGGCAAAGAGGTGGAGATGGTGCGGCAGGCGGCTGAGTTGGAAATTCTGACGACGCCTTATGTTTTCAACGTCCAGGATGCCGAGGCTATGACGAAGGCTGGGGCAGATATCCTGGTGGCACATATGGGCCTGACTACTTCCGGGCTGATCGGGGCAAAGACTGGAAAGACGTTGGAACAATGTGTTGTGGAGATCCAGGCAATGCGGGATGCGGCGGTGCAGATCAATAAGGATGTCATTGTGCTGTGTCACGGTGGGCCTATTGCCGCTCCAGAAGATGCCAAATTTGTATTGGATAGGGTGCAGGGCTTGCATGGCTTCTATGGGGCCAGTTCAATGGAGCGACTTCCTGTTGAAGTAGCCATCAGGGACACCACTGCTGAGTTCAAAAAGATTGCCTTGAAGAGGTAGAGCTGTGCCCAGAAAGCTTTCTGATCTGAGTGATGAACTTTTCTTTTCCAGACCACAAAGCCACCTCTATCGCGAACAATGCCATGTTGTTATGGTTATTCATGAAGTGATGACTCCCATCATTGCCCGAATCGTAGTTAGCTTGGTAGAATGAAACCTAGCCTACGATAAAATCAATATTTGAATAGACGAAAGTGATCTATTTGGGTATTTACATGTATCAACTTCCTTAGTATGACCTTGAAGGATGAAAGAAAAGAAACAAGATCTACCCTGCTCTTGCAAATCGTCTTCGCGACTTCCCCCAGTTGTTGCTGGGAGATCACCAGGTCTCTCTCCCCTGGGCGAGTGGACCTGCGACGGAACAAACTCTCGAATGGGATAACGAGAGGATGGTCACTGACGTGTGTCTGGTTGTTTTTGCTGGTGATCCATGTGACCTGGGAGCAATGGGCCTGGTCATTTTGCCTCTCCCACTTTTCAATCCAGATCTCTGGTCGAGACCTATTGATCCGGAATGTCAAGCAGATGTTGGTATTGCCATCACCAGGGTTCAACTAGAATCGGACCTCAGAACTCAATTTTGAGTCTGATTCCGAGGACGCAGCTTCGAGAGTAACGGAGGTCCGCTTTGTTGACAAGTCGGTGGCTGTCGAAACTGTCGAGGAGAAGCTTGATTGAGGTTGGGATGGGTTTTGCGGTTTCGTCTAGGTCTTGTGCGTCTTCGTCTGCACTTTTTCCTTTTGTTGACAGGCTTTTCCTTACCATGCGCTCTCCTTTCGTGCCAGGAACAATTAACTTATGAGCTTGTTCTCCGCATCCCAAAATCTAGAGTTGTCCCGTCCCTGATTCCGTGTCCACCCTCGCAATGAAGAGGGTTTCTGGTCAAGCTAAGCTCGATGCCAGAAACA